CATAATTATATTTTTCACATATTTTCGCCTTATACTTAGAAGAAAGCTTAAATATCTGTTAATTTTCTAATATTATGGACAATTATCTATGGAAATCAGTTAAAAGAATAATAATTTAACGCAAAATTATTGGATAAATAATTTATCAAAATTTTTGCAACATGAAAACTTTAATGAAGGAAAATCTCTGGAAAAACTTGATGGAAAATTCTAAAACCCTCAGTAATTACTCGTTTTTGTTGATAGATTAATATTAGAAACGATTAAGTTTTCTACGAAACGTAAATAAGACAAAATTTTAGATTTTTCAAAGTGCGTCTAAACGAACTGCGCACTTTGTTGTTGTAATTTTTGAAAAAATTATTTTAATTACTTAAGCAAAGCATTTAGTCAGATACTTTTATTATATTTATAACCTAATTGGTCACAGCTATAAACACATAAAATAGTTTTTGTCTTAATAGTGTTTATTAAAGGAAAATTTGAAAAAAATTAAGTGCGTCTAAACGAACTGCGCGCACCTTAGTGTGTTGCTACACTGGAATCATCAATACTCAATACCAGATTAATTGATTCCAGATGTTTTAAAATTTATTTTAATAATATACAAATAATGCTTAAAGGGCTCCGACTTTTTTTGAGCTGAAGACACTCCGATTGTAAATCTATTGTTCCACTCTTTAAACCTAAAGTTTTTAGTAGAATCCGAACCACCTTTATTTTAATAAGCACCGAACGATTTTAATTACTAAAATTGAAACAACGAAAATTCACTATTTCATTCAATACCATATTAATCATCATCCAGCCACAAACAAGGCTTTTACAAATGTTTGAATTTTACATATGTATATGAACAAAGTTTATAGAGAGGAATGAAAAAAGTTTATAATATTCTAAAAATAAAATCCTTGTTGACAACGAGTGTTATTGAATTTTACGGAAGTGATTCTTCATTTTACCTACCAACACTACGTAAAGCATAATGTGACTTGACTCTCGAGTATAACAAAAAAATAGAAAAATGTGAATAGCTAGATAATAAATAAATGAAGAGCATATGCTACTAAAACAGAATCAATTTCACTAATGTATTCACAAAAGATCCACCCGATCAATAATGTCCAATGTAAAATGTCGATGACGTCATTTACAGTTCTCTCACTTGGACACTCCATTAGAGACACAATTTATGAAGTCTAAATTAAATTTTTTAAACAAATTTCGTTTCGCACAGTTTGTTTTGAGGACCACTTAGTGAATACGACTCATGCGCTTTTCCTTACAGAAACTGAAAACGGAAGCAAAAAAGGGAACAAAAACTTTTGAATTTTTTATTTGATATTTAACTTGTGCTTCAGAAGTTTCTCTACGTCCGTTCTACTTCCTTATTTTCTTCTCGTATAATGTAAAAAAAAAATATTAATTTTGATAAGAAAATATTATTGCAAAAATAATAGAAAAAGTTCAAACGCTTTTGTGCACGAGAAAGAGAATAACTTAAGGGCTTCTGCAGGAAGTTTGTAATCAGTAGTTTCACATTTACTTTGATTATATTTTTTATCCGAATTAATTGTTCTCCCAGTTCAGGACATGCTTAACCAAAGAGTTGAATGATAATCATTTGAATGTAAAGTTAGTCTTCAATGTTTCTCAACCTTTGTAGAATGGAATATCATTTTTAAGTATTATAAGAAATCATCGTAAGAAGCATGAAATATTGTAAAATCAGAATGGTTTATGATAGCAACTGTGCTACCAAATGAAACAGTCGTAAATGCAATCCTATTGATTGTAAGAACTTTGAGCTATCTACATGACAAAGAAGTCGGATCGAGTTTCAGTAGAATCGGTAAAAAGTACAAAGTTTCGAGTATATTAATGAAATTTATTGTCGTCGCGACTGAACCTTAATGTTGATCCTAATTTTTGAGTAGTAAATATTTTATTTTCACTTCCGTTAAGGAATAGAATCGTTTATAATTTTTAAAACCATCTAAGAACAGTAAAATTTAATGTACCTTAAATCTTCGTCAAGTTTCATGTCTAAAAATAACAAAATATCCAAGGAGGTGTAAATGAAAAATTGCAAATCATAAAAAGAAGTCTCGTTAATCTAATCGAGTGGAATAAGCTGACTGCGTGGGTTGTGCCTTATTTTTCACGTACAAATTTGATGAAACTCAATTTGTGCACATCATACCTTACATTGTTTCTATTTCCAGTCACTAAGACGAAACAAGTCATGAACATTATAGATAGTTAAGAGAAATAAAGTCATTAAGTGAAGCTCAGACACAGAATCATACGAAGACATGCTATGAGCAATAAAACCTTTCTCGCTTTTGATAAAACTTAAGCAATTCTCATTGCCGTTAAATTAAATTAATTTCTGTGTGAGAGAAAATTAATTTGCTACTAAGTGAAAGAAAACAAGATACATCCATAGAACTTTGCCAATGTTACATTGATGAAAATAATTGTTTGGAGTTTTATTTCGAAATTATTTTATGTTTCTCAGCTGCATAGTTTGGCTATACTCTTTAAATAAAGTGGATATTATTTATCTTCCAAATATGACAAGATAAGTTTGGTACATGATTAATTCCGTTGTCAATTTCAATTATAAAAAATTTGATGAAATTATTGCTTTAGAGCAGCACAGCTTTAAACTGTACTCCTTGTTATTATGACTGGAAGAATGCAGACTTTACTAAGAACATAAGATGAATGTTTATAAATACATACAAAGAAGTATTCTCAAATTTCAATGTCTTATACACAATTTGATTTCATAAGCAAAATCATATAAACATTTAGTTGTGGTAAATTTGAAGAAAATTATGTGTTAGATCAGTTAAACAGTGACATTCGGAGCAGCTAGTTGTATAAATTTAATAAAAAAATGGTTTTCAATATAAGCAGAATATTAAAATTGTGATTAAAATTTTAATATACAAAGAGCATGCTCAGAAAAGTGAGCATATAATTGAGTCTACTCAAAACTTATACTCATGCAAGCTTATTCAACTGAACATGCTCAGGAGTTCATTACGAATGTACTCACTTTATTTTTTTGCAAAAAATTTATAAGCTCACGTGAGTACATTCAACGAGTGTACTCATGAGAATATTAAGAACATACTTATGCGAATACACTCGTATGAGTGCACTTACTGAACATTCTCATAAGAATATTAAGAGCATACTCACTTCTGTGTGACATAATTTTTTTACGTTCTCATATGAGTGCACTTACTGAACATGCTTATGGGAATATTAAGAACATACTCATGGGTATTTACTCTTATGAAAACACTTCTTTAACATACTCATGAGCATATAATTAACATAATTATATCTATATGACATTTTCAAAAACGTCGACCAACTTAAAATCGAACATCGAATACATTTTTTTATCAGTCGACATTTTCAAAAATGTCGACCAACTTAAAATTAAACTTAAAACACATTTTTATGTAAGTCGACATTTTCAAAAATGTCGACCAGCTTAAAATCGAACATCGAATACATTTTTATATTAGTCGACATTTTCAAAAACTTCGACCAACCTAAAATCGAACAAAGAATACATTTTTATGTTAGTCGACATTTTAAAAAATGGTCAACCAACTTAAAATCCAACTTAGAATATATTTTAATAATAGTCGACATTTTTTAAAATATTATTTTTAAAAATCTGTCAACCAACTTAAAAGCAAATGTTGAATATTTTAGATATGTAATACAAAAATGTACGAAACTTTTTACAATTTTAAGTTTTCTGAAATAAATGTCAAGGAATTAAATTAAAAATTACTTTGCTTTTGAAAAACTATAAAAATTAAGCACGATCAAAATCTTTTGGCTTTCATGGAACTAATATTTGAATTCATAAAATATTTTCAAAAAATGTCGACTTGCATAAAAATGTATTCTTTGTTCGATTTTAAGTTGGTCGACGTTTTTGAAAATGTCGACTAATATAAAAATGTATTCGATGTTCGATTTTAAGCTGGTCGACATTTTTGAAAATGTCGACTTACATAAAAATGTGTTTTAAGTTTAATTTTAAGTTGGTCGAAATTTTTCATAATATGTTCTCACGATCGTGCTCTGATCAACTCAAATATTTCATAAAAATATAGTTCAATTAAGTAGCGTATCAAACTTCAAAGAACTTAGTTTGCCTGTAATAATATAATAATTTAAGTATGTGTTTTGCCATATAAAAATTATTATATATTTACAGAAAATTGCTCCAAGGAAAAGTGTGAGGTGACAGAAGTTAAGCAACGCAATAGGTTTTTCTACAATGATGGGTGACCGGTTTTTAAAACTTCCTTCTTATGTATTTGAGATAAAATGTTAATAATAATTTCTAGCTCTTCCAAAATTATTCACAGAATTATCCTTATAAAACTCAAATTTAACTTAATTAATTTTTTTTGAATTTTGTGACTTTAACTGATTGCACTCATGAGTGTAAGCACTCATTAATAAACTCACTAAGCATATATCTTTTGAGTATGTTCATGAGTATATGCTCTTTGAGAATGTTCATAAGTATATTCAATAAAAAATGTTGCATTAAAAAAATGTTGCGTGTAGCATGTTGCTTTCTCATTTGAGTATGCTTATGAGTTTACTCAGTGAGCTTAATGCATGGCACATAGGAATGTGCTCACTGAGCATACTCAAAAAGGTACCGTGATCGCATCACTTTAATGTATGAAATGAGCACATTCTCACAAAAGTTTCCAAGCTCACAAATAATGTGCTCTGAGTATACTCATTGTATGTTCGGGAAAACGATGCTTAAAATTAATTTTCGTTCACAGCTTCATGCATTTAAAGTTGAGGGAATAAATGGATTATTAAATTCCAAGCTAGTTACAGAGGTAAACAAGCTTAATATTTGCAGTACCATTGAAATAGTCAACAGTTCAGCTAAGCAGATATTTTGCAAACTTGTAGAAAGATTAAATAGCATCAAAATGTGTGTTATATTGTCAATTCCTAAATTTGAACTTGCCAAATATCCTGGAATTGATTTTCAAAAAGACTTAGTAGCAGAAATTGTCAAAATTGAAGAGAAAGCTGCAGTATTTTATGAGGAATGTTTTAATTATAACATCAATCGTGCTAGATTGATTGCTGAAGCTGGAAAATACCCAAGTTGCATTAATTACAGCAATGCTGTGGCAGAGTTTGATGAGAGATTTTTAAAAAAATTAAAACTGTCTCTTATTAAAGGTCGTGATTACCTCATTGCACTTCATGACGTCATTACTAAAAATGAGAATTTCATAAAATGTCCACACTGTTTAATTAAATAAGATCCGTACCAATATCGAATTAATCAGCCTCAGCTAACAAGATTATAGATTATTCATTTGTTCACAATTATGTTCTACTATTTTTACCATTCAATCTGAGTTTACAAAATAATAAAAATGTATCTTATGCTTCTTTTCACATACTTGGCTGGGACAACACTTTTCAATCGAGTAAGAGTTTAAAATAGGATCCAACCCATTCTCTGACAAAGTAACAGTTAGATACCAAAATATAAAAATTGTAATATGCAGCAAATCATCAAAACTCATTAAACTTTATCTCATAACTCAAACACATTACTTTAAACACATTTAATTAAACATTTTCATGCACACTTTATATTCTTTACTTTATCAGACTTTAAAACGAAATAAATATCAAATTAACTTTTCCTTTAAACTTTTCATCAACTTTTCCCACGAGAATCCAAACTTTTCATCTTGTAGTTGAACTTTTGATATGCTATTCATGTGTCTGAAGAGATCCCTAAATGGTGTGTACTTATTTAGACAATTTACATCACCAATCATAATCAATTTATGTTTTGCTCTCGTAATTGCGACAGTCAAGCGCCTTCTATCTTCGAGAATTTCTACTTCCAATGATTTAGACGATTTATTGCCATCATTTGTGATTTCTGTCATCGTACATGAATAAATTATTATCTTCTTGTCACGTCCTTGATATTGATCGACTGTATTGACTTCTACGGATTTGTAAGACTCGAAAATTTTCTTTAAAGCTTCAACTTGATCTCGATAAGAAGCAATAATGCCAATAGATTCACCGCTTACTCCACAATCTATCAGTATATCTACAATGTGCATGACAATAGCAATTTCACAATAATTAACATATAGCTTCGATTTTTCTTTTCGTTCCTTCATATTGACTGAATCGAAATATCCAGTAGCCATTTCATAAACATTTCCAGTATTAATTAAGGAACAAGCTTGATCTAAATGTGATGTGAGAACTTTTGCCAGCCACTTGTCACTACTTAATTGTTCCTTTAACTTATCAACATTTGGTACTTCCATTACTGCCTTCTCAATCTTCTCATTAGCACATTTCAGTTCATTATTGTAAGTCAAATTATTAGCTAATTTAGTGATTGTCTTGTTCATACGATACTGCAATCCAAGAACAGATGTTGCCTCTTTCGAATCAAGTCGCTCGAATAAACTCTGATTAGCTCCAAGAAGCCTAGCTTCATTGCTTCTTACTAACGGTGACAACTGGTCTGGATCTCCAACAAGAATAAATCTGTCAGCTGACAATAATGGACGAATTACTGTCGGTTGGAAAATTTGTGTTGACTCATCAACAAGACAGTAGTCAAATCGTCTATTTGCAAGAAGAGCATGAGCAGATCCAAGGCAAGTAACAGCAACAATTTGATATTTACTATAAAGTTCTTTTAAATCCTCAACAGAATGGCACTTTTCAATTAAAGTAGCTTCACAATAATCATGTAAATCCTTGTGAATCCTCGAAACAGAACCGAGTCGAAGGAACTTGATTCTTCGTTCCTTTAATCTCAATAATATATTATCAACAGCCGAGTTTGTGTGACTTGTAATTATTATCGATTTTTTCATCACCATTAATAAATGGATTAAGTTCACCAATGTCTGAGTTTTTCCAGTTCCCGGTAATCCCTTAATAAGCATATAACTTTCGCATGTTAATGCCTTTAATATTGCATTTCTCTGTACGGGATTCATTTCCAATAAAGTCTGATCAATTTTCTGCTGAATTGATTTCGGGAGACTATTACTGAATTGTGGCTGCATTTTATCAACAATGATGCTCCTTAATCTGTTAATTCCTTTCTCGTCGTTATTCTCCAACAATATTCCAATATTTGAGAAATTAAAGACTGACTGTGACTGTGATTCGTGCTTGTCGAGATGAAATTTTTCGTTTGCATATTGACGACTTATATCCTTTGGCAGTAATAGTGAGATCTGCGTTGATTTTATATTATAAACTCGACCAGCAGTAATTGAACATCTCTTGTCTGTGCTAACAATTAAATATTCACCAATATCAAAGTTTGTTTGAGTAAAATCTAATTGACTATTTGAGGAAGTAAATGGATGAACAAATTCATTTCCATGCTGAACAACGAAATCCTTGATAATGAGATTTGCTAATGCATTTCCTTTTGTTGCTCTTTCATCAGCACTTTTAGTCCATAAATGCTTCAATTTGATGGGTCTCTGACCTTCATTATGCTCTAATGTAATTAAATGACACCATTGTAGGAAGTAATTGTAATGCTCAATTGTCAAATGCGCAATAGCTGACTCTTGTATCTTAAATAATGGATGATTAGATTGCAAAACATAATTTTCATCCTTCTCGAGGAAAGCACAGCACAAGACATTATAAGAGCACTTTTGACATGCTGTTGGATGTTTGATTGGCTCAGGTAGATTGATTGTTTTTTCACGTGTCACAATTTCTGTATTGAGGTACTTGGCAAGTCGATTTCTCATCGATATTAATCCACTCTCTTCAGGACGTGATGCGCGAATTTCACTCATCAATCCATCACGGATGTACAGCAATAAACCTGAATCAATTTGTTTCCCCAAATCGCGCATCATCAACTGATATAAAATTAATTGACCTTTGTGCTCTAATGAGTATGAGGACTTTCCGGTTTTAATTTCTACAGGAATTAATTTGCGGAAAGAATTGAAAAATTGATTTGGTGGATATACAGTCACGGTTGCATCAATTTTTCCTTTTAATCCTAAATGTGGACTCCATACATTTTCTTCAATGTCTTGAACTTCTGCAATACGTCCCATAAATTGCTTATTAGAATCATTTCCATTGCTAGGTTTTTGTGATTGACTATTTCCAACAAAATATTGCTGCATGAAATGGAATATTCTGTCTATAAATGGATCAATTTGGCTCTTTAAATCTTCAGGCGATATTTTGCATGCATAAAGTAATTGAATAATGTTTGCATGATTCAAAACCTCTTCACTAGCTCTCTTCACTTCCTTTAATGTTGTCAAATTATCCTTCATAGCTTTTTGAATGATTTCGTGAACGATTGATCCAACATGCATCTGCGAATGTATGAAAATTATTGAGTGATGAAATATTCAGACAAGATAAGTGGGTACTTTATGAAATATTCAAAACGGATGAATATGAAACACAGACGGTTCGTAATAAGTATACTTAAACAATCCAGTGCAAAATAAAAGATGTAGAATTTCAAAATTTTACGTAAATTATCCATTAATCAAGAGTATATACTTACAACCAGAGTGTCATCAAAATCAACTCCTCGAAATCTTTCGCTTAAAACTGATTTACGTGTACAAAACAATGATCCTACAACCGTTGTTCCGGAAACAAGGAAATCAGGCAGAACAACAATTATTCCACTATCATTTGACACAAAATACAATTTCCTCTCTTCATTCCAAATGCCTTTAACTGACACAATGTCATTTTGTGCAACATTCGTGTCAAACCAGATCCCCTTTAAACAGCATTTTGTGAACTTCTTAGTCTTCTTTTCCTCGAGATGTAAGATTTTCTCAAAGGTTTTTGGATGGATCTCGATAAAATTTACTTTACATCTTTTGAAGTCTGTAAGATCTAATGGTTTGTTGCTTTCTTCTGCATTCTGAAATCATATTTGATGAATTACTATGAAATTATCTGAATAATGACTTTCTTACCTTTAAAACCATTTCCAGAAAGATGTCATCATCATCATCAAACATTAAGCCATCAAAATCAAAGTCATCCGTAGCTTTATTAATTATATTTCCATTATTTTCTTTACACTTTTTTGGAGACACTGAAATCTTCACTTTTTTACTAACATCATGCGGTAAACACTTTTGTGGACTATCAACTAATGTAAATGCTCGCTTTTCCATTTATAAATTGTCACTTTTACTGTCTAAATATGGTAAGGTTAAATAAATTAAGTTTTTTTGGGAAATTTTTCAAATATTGGAGGGAAAAGTGATTTGACGTATTTTGAAATTTTCATTACCGTTAATTTTTCGAGGCACTTAAATAGATAATTGTCAAATCTACACAAATTATGACGCTATTTTACGTAATTATTAGCATCAAGGCATTAGCTTATCATTTGGATACTTAAATTCATTGATATCCGTGAAATAAAAAAGCAATCAACTTGATTTGCAACTTGATTGAAATTCAAATTTTAAAAGACGGTTAATTTTTCTTAAGTCCTAATACTTTCATTTATTAACTATTTTCGAATTTTAAAGCCTTTAATTAATAGTAATAATAATTCTAATAATTTACAAACTTATTCTTAAATCTATGAGAAAAATTAAAACAAAGTAAAATTATTTTATTGTTAAGAAATCAGCCTGCATTGGTTCTATGAACGGAAATGTCCATAAAAGCTTTCGTCACACAATTGGTTTAGCATTTCCATTAAGGTAAACTGCTGGTCTAAGAGCTATTTCATCATTGTATGTCTGAATTATGTTTGTGTTGAAGTTTCTATCCAGTTGCCTTGGCGAACAGATCGGAGATCCTTCAACCTTGATCGTATTTTGGAACAAATCATAGTCGATCTACAATAACATGTGATTAATTAGGGATATTCAAGTTTAATTAAGCAAGCTTACATGATATTCATTTGAACTTTCTTCGTAAGTTACAACATTTTGGAATCGATGACCCCAAAGAATCTCAGATGGTAAATAAGAAGTTCTAGCTTGAGCAGCAAGTCCTGTAGATTCAACACCACCTTCAAGCATTACAATAATCTCAAATTGTTGCCGTTGTAAATCTATTGATGAAAGTTCATAAAGTGGACTCTTAGCATCAATCTTATGCGTGATTATCGTAGGCCACATCAATAAAACTCGATCATCGCATTCGTCTGTCGTTAATGATAAATCTTGCTGATAAAAATTAATCAATTCGCCTTCCCTTGTCATTCTTTTTCTGATAATTCGAGCTTTAACAGTTGCTTGAACAATATAGCTTTTTCGAGTATCAGCCACACGAAACATAAGATAAGGTGTGCCATCACGATGACAAATAACAGCATTTTTCGAGAATATGATGTTTTGTGCCCTCTTTTTGGGACGTGCTAATTTGGCAACAATACCACCCATTAAGAACTGATTATTGGAATAAAGTTATTTAGATTAGATTTTGGTGATAATTTTTGTAAACAAAAATATAACTTACGCACTGTAGAAGAGTTCCGAAAATGCTAGATGATAAATAAAAATTAAATTATATAATTAGTTTTTAAAGTGGAATAAATCAGAGTATAAGATAATATACCTTTGTGCGGCTACAAGAACAGGACCTCCTTTGTCGAAACGAAAGAAAGAAAACATGAAAAGTTAGAAATAACGTATTTCATTAGAACAGCTGACAAATAAGAGAAAGATTAATAAAAATTTAACGGTTATTTTCAAATTTTGTAGCTTTTGTGAGGTTTTAATGAAAAATTTGAATGGTTTTCAGTATAATTTGTAAGGTTTTGATCAGTTTTGATATTCAAAAAAATCTTAATTTCCGTTAAATTTTTATCAAAAGTAAAATAAATGGTTAATCAATATTCACCTATACACTCTTCCGTTACATGTCGAAATCCATAGCCTAATTAATAAAAATAAAGGAAAAAGTGTAAGTAAACAAGCTGTTTTTTTACAAATTCCAATTTTATCATTTAATTAATCACCTATTGTGTGTTGTGTTTCAATGGAAAATAAAAAGGCTGACGTGAAGGAATAAAGGTGTCTAACACAAGGAGTATATGGATTATCTGTCTCAAATTGCTCCTTATCACCAGCAGCAAGCCATTTGGTATAATAAGATATATCACCACGTGCAAGTGCCATTGAATACCACAGGACTGCATAAAAAGTCCATGATGTCATATAAAAGCATGTAAATGTCATTATAGTCCATCTCCATTTAGCATCAATAAATGTTGTAAATCCATCTTTGATATATCGTCTAGCAGTTCTGCCAATATTCTGTTTTGTAGTGTTTACTTCTCCCTTTTTAAAGATTATACGATTTCTTTAAATCAAATAAAAGGAAACTATAATTAAAAAATTCGGTAGCTTCAATCATACAAAAAGATTTGTGATTAATATCTCAAGTGCTTCCAAAGTGTAAGCGGTTGATATCGTTGTTGGAACCAATAAAAAATGTTTGATTACAAAAATCAATGTGACTGTAAAAAAAATTCCCTAGACCAAATACGTAAGAAATCTGTATTAAGATTCCTAAACTCTTTGAATTGCTGATTAAAAAATTATCAAGGAAATGAACGCACATATGATTGCAATTGTACTTAGCAACACAAAGTTTAAATAGTGGAGCTGATATCGATTTTCTACTGTTTAATCTACTTGAGAAGTAGTTTGCAAAAATATTAGTAGTTTTGATGTTGTCAAGCTAGATTCGACTGGAGTTTTGGATTCTTTAAAATTTCAATTGTTTTGGAATAATTTTATGAATTATCAAACTTTAATTTCATAGCTCAATTTAAAGATTTGTCTTGCTCAATCTTATTAAACAAACAAATCGTAAGCTGTTAAAATTATCAAGATTTGTTCAATATATTCTTCAAAACAAAGCCTTTTTTAGTCAAAATTGAATCTCTCAAAATTTTAAATTTCTCTTGTAAGAAACTTTTTAATGTTTTGATGTTTTACATTTTAATTAAATCTAAAATGTATTAATTTTTATTGTACTTCAACCTTGATTTGAAAGAAGTAAAAATCTTGAACTTGTCTTGGAAATTTCCAAAATATTGTGGATTAATCTAATCTTATTTAATCCATTACTATACGTAATCGTGCCTTCTTGGGAATACACCCCCCAAACTTTGATACCAGACCCAATGTAATACGTAGTTGTTTGATATTTCAGTCAATTCAACGGTTTGACTTAAAACTGTTAAGTTTGTTTGGAGAATTTATGAACTTTAAGCACAAAGAATGTTTTTTTGCTTTGAATTTAAAAAAGCTTAATTCTATTTAAATAAATCTGCGCATTACCAAAAAACAGTTCAACCTACGTCAATTGCTAAAAGCTACTAAAAGCTTTGCAAATTTCATCAATAACTCGGTTTTTATCATATAAGCAGACTAATGAATTACATAAATCTTGTTAAAAGGTGATCTTTATCAATGTGCAAAAATCATTTTATGGAAATGACTGACATTTTACTGATAATCTAGCACAAACTATTCTGATAACATTTACACTAATGTTTGTTTAGCCAAAATCGATATTGACATTTTTAAAAAAAAATCACGCTATCAGCTAATGATTAATAAGAAATTCTTAAGATGAACTCTTTTTAGATGATTAATTTCTTGGAGCTTGAACTGCAAACAATCACAAATTAAAAATAATAATTTCCACTTACAAACTCTTTGTTTCCATCTTAACTGCTAAAGCACCACTCAAAGACTAAAATGAGTTTACTCAAAATTAGGTGTAATATAGTTATTAATACAGAAGTTAAGTGGCCAATAAAGAGATAAGGATAAATCGCAAGGGTCTTTTATAGATGATGTCCAATTTATTAATTCTTTGTGAAATGGGAAAGTTTGCTCGAAACTGCGTTGCGTTGAGAGCACACGTTGATATAATCAGTTGCAATACTACAAATACTACAAATAATACTACAAATAATACAAAACTTAACTGTGAAAAAGTCAGGCACTCAGGTTTGCCAGTTTGAAGCCAAATGATATAAAGGTTGGAAACCTTTTACATCATAAATTTTCTTTGGTTTAATCAATGACCAAAAAAAAAAAATCAACCTCATCCAAGGTAAATCTCCTGCCTGAATTCCCTATTTTTAAGCAACGTAATTTGTGCAATGATCCCACATTAAATGAATACTATGACACATGGCTAAGTGGGATTATTTTCGGATATCTTTGAATCACAGTTTGTTCACTTTGGACTATATATTTCAGATGTAACTCGTGTGTGTACCGCGTATAGTATTGAATCCAAACAAAACAGTAACATGTGATTTAGATTTTTTTTTGAATATTAACGAATAATTGCTGGAATGGATTTAATTGGAGATTGAATAATTTTAAGATTTCTCAAATAATTTTTTCACGAATTTCCTGGATTCTAATATTAAAAACACCTTCTTTGGGTTTCAAACGATGAGCAAGTGCATGAAAACCATACAAATGTTGGAATAATTTGTAGTGTTCTGAATAAAATTTGTATGGTTTTTTTTAAAAAAAAAATAATTTATGCATTTTAAAAGTAATTTTGTAGATTCAAAAACAGACAAAATGCGAGTGCTAAGGAATAAATAAAGCTGGAAACAGACCTAATTTATAGAAAGAAGAAAAGAAAATCACATCAAGTTTATCAAACTTCCTCAAATCTCAAAGAATCTTGCCGCTACTTCTTTTTACTCTTTACTTTCCGCAGGTACTTTTTCTACGCAAGTGATTTAATCGTTTCCAACTCAACAATCCTAACCAATGAACATTATATAAACTTTAATTTAATGATTCATTAGAATATCTTTTAAAGCTACAAAAAAAATTAATCAAAAACCTGACATTCAATATCTCACGATTGATACCGTTTTTAAGATTTATTGGCGCTATTTATAATGCGTATCATTGCTGAATTATGACTGTCATCAATTTTCAAAATGGTTGTTAAACATGATTGATAACTATTGTCACTTGCAGATCGACTAGAAAAGCTTATCTTTTTGTGATATCGGCTTTGACCAATGAGTGCGAACAAAGAAAATGTCAGTTAATTTTGGTTAATTTCGAAAAATTCAAAAAAAATTCGAAAATATGAAATTTTGAAAAATAAAAATACGTTAACGACTTAATTAAGAAACAAATTTATTTCAATTGTTTTTTGATGCATAATTGTTTCTTTTATGTATTAATCAACACGGATACTGAAATTTTGCTCTAAATTTAACAAAAGCTTTTAATTGTTTATCAATCGTTTCTTCACAATGTTCAAAAACTACTTCAACTTGGGCAATTACTGTATCAATAAATTGTTGATTAAATGAAGGATCAGAACATGAAATAAGACAATTTAATAGCCTATAAATGAATTCTAGACACATTAAAAAACATTGAACTTCTACTGAAAGTTCCCATGAAGATTCTTTTTTCAAGAAGTAATTTAAATGCAAAATGTAAACAAATAATTGTAACGGAAATTTCAAATTCAATTTTTTTTTTCCGCGCTCGAAAATTAGATCCTTCGAAATCGAAAATTAGTTCTCATCCGCACTCATTGGGGCTTTGATTGGCATTAATGCATTGAATTGGCTTTGTGGACTTTTAATTTTGTTGGAAGTTAACGGATGTTTACTATTGTAAGTTGATATCAGTTGAGTTGGTAGATAAATCTTAGTTTAAAAGCATGTGTGCTTTATAAATCACTCTTAAAATTCTTTTAACTGACAAATTTGAATTTAGTTTTAAAAAACATTTGAATAGTTCTAGAGCACTAAAATAAAAACTTGTCATTCATAATATAAGTCATGCTTCATGCTGATTCCAAAAGAATTCAAAACAAAAGCAATTCAAGCAATTTTTACTGATAAAATCCTTTTTTGTTTTATTATTTCAAGAAATTTGTGTACTTTTCTTTAAAAAATTTCATATTTTAACATTCGTTCTGTATGTTTTGCATTTTTTGATTTTTTTTTTTTCACTTATATTAAAAATATAGGTAAAGTATATTTACGAGGAGGAAGATGATTCTTATAATCTAATTTCTTATCTTTTCATTTTTCTTCAATTTCTAATAAAAAAAAAAGTTTATATTAATCTTATTTTGGTGGTGGTCTGAAAATTCCACAAACAACGGCATGGTCTCTTTCGTATGGTTCTAATGTAACTTGTTCCAAAGGTTTTAATTTGTCAGCTTGGAGTTTCTTTACTTCACTTGCAAATACTGCTTCGGGCTTGGCAGTTGAGTCAATACATGAAGCCTTAATTGAAATGACAAAGTGTCCGCCGTTTTTGAGGAAATGCTGAGAGTTGAGTGACACAATACGTGCCTGATCTGGTTGAGCGACATCTGCAAAAACTGTATCAACCATTCCAACTAGCATTCTGTATTTGTGTGGATGTCTAGCGTCTTCAATAATTGGTATGATATTCGTTCGTTTCTTTGCGACATTAATTAAATCACGTCCTGAACGGTGTGAGAATTCAACAGCATAGACTAAGCCTTCTGGTCCGACTACATCACTAACATGACTAACGGTTGTACCTGAGGCTGCTCCGAGATATAAAACTTTTGAACCAGGTCCCATGTAAATGCTCTCAACTCCTCCAAGAATTGCTGCTGCCAACTTTGATCTGAATGGATTCCAAACGCGATATTCTTTCTTTTCGCCATCAGTCTGCGAATAAACATATCATCGTTAGATTATTACATCAAAGTTATTGATATTTCGTTTAAGAAGTAAATCAGAGTAAATAAAGTTGTCTTAAAACCATTCAAATTACTGTAGAAGCGACACCAATTACTTCAGAACGAGCAATAGAATCAAGCCTCAAGCAAATTGATACGTCTCTTTAGGATCATTTCCCTAAAATCTGTCCCCTACGCTTCTCATCATTTTAATTAAGCTATCTGAGCCGTAACTGGCATTAAGATTGGTGTCATTATAAGTAAAACAGTGACTTACCTCAACAGAAATACGTTTTTCGCCATAGACTTCTGATCCTGGGACGAGATTAAGTGTGACAAGTGCGTCTTCCTTTCCTCTAGCAACAAAAACTCCTTCATGACGATGTGGTTCAACTGTAACAGCTTTTCCTCCTTTAAATCCACCCCCACCTCGTCCTCCTCTACCCCCTGGAGCTCCTCTACCACCCCTGCCTCCTCTTGGTGGACCCCCTCTTCCTCCACCTGCCCCACCTCTACCAAAACTTCCTCTGGATCCTCCCTAGAGTAATTATAAACATCTTTTGAGTCAGTAAAATATGAAAACTTATAATGATTAAATTAACTTACACCACGACCCCCACCACCTCCAAAACTTCCTCTGGATCCTCCACGTCCACCTCTTCCTCCTGCACCGCGTGGTGTAAATGCTATAATTAAAAAATAAAATTTTAACCTGAATTGTTTACAAAAAACCAAATATTGTTTTTGTTCATGTCACTCGATATAACAACAAAAAGTAACTTTAAGCTACTGAATATGCATTATTATAGTTGAATTAAGGAAAAATGGCAGCACAAACAAAACTTCTATAAGAATTAAGGAAAATGCCGCAACTTCACTCAAATCAACCTTAATTCATATATATTTCAACTTACGTGGTCTACCCATGATGTACTTATTTAATTATAGTAGGAAACTGCTCAATAGAATTGTGATTTACACGAGAAATTAATCTTTTTAAAATTAAATTTACAAAAACGTGAGTTTGATGCTTTCGAAACTTTTTTGTATTAAAAGCCTAAGGCTTATAACAAGAGCGCTCCTAAATTTCAATATTTCATAACCGTTTCGAAATTCAAATATTTTATAACCGTTACGAAAATAGCAATCATAAAAATCATTAATCACTCATTCTTGCTTGATCTCCAGCCTTATGAAAATGAAATTCATTAAAATGGCATAAAATTTTTTTGGCCAGTTCGAGCTTGTTTGTGAAAAAAATTTTGAAATTCAATCGATGGTTTACATTTCAAAAAATTAAACACGAAAAATTCGAGTTCAAAAATTGAAGCACGAAAAATTCGAGTTTCAAAAATTGACACGAAAAATCGAATTCCAAAAATTGAAACACAAAAATTTCGAGATCCAAAAAATGAAACACGAAAATTTCGAGTTCAAAAAAGTTAAAACTCTGAAACTCCAAAATTTCCAATTCAAATCACAACTTCTGTTTGTCAGCCTCTTTTCTACCGAAATAGAAAAGATCACAGGACTCACCTCGCGAAGGTCAACAGAACGAGTCCCTGGTTAATGATCAATTTTTGGTCGAATTCCTCAGTGATACGCTCCTTCTTAAATCAAACAACTTTCGTTAGACGACTTAGTTGCAACTTACAGGATAGCATAGTTTTACCAACTATGACAAAAACTGTAAGTTAAACACATCACCGGGTTACATTAAATGCCGTGATGCATCTATCATTAAGGGTGTGCGACCCATCTAGAAGCGCCTCTATAAAGATCAATACCGCCTTGAGTCAACGAATTTCAGTACCACTGGCCTTTACGTCCCCTCCAAACCAACAAGAACAAGCTGTAACACCGTAAGGCATGGCTTGGAGTCATGAATAGAGAGCTCACGTTCAGGATTTATTGGGCAAAGATCTTGTTATGACTCTCAACGGCCCGGAAGTATTTGTTGTGAAAGAATTGGAAAAATTCACGAAATACAAAGTAAAGTAAGAGCTGAAAAAGAAATGAATTAATAAACAGGATAATACGGACGGACGAATTGACAGTAATGTTTTTTTTTGGACAGCCCACCCTCAACCCCCTCTTGTAATTCCTAAAAAGTTCAAAGCCCTTTTTATAGAGGATAAGCCTCGTTCGATAAAAATTATATAAAAAACTCGAACGCGCCATTGTAGTTCATTCATGTCCAGATTGTTTAAAAGAAAAATCCCCTTACGTTAACAAAACTTTCAATCAACCCTCTCCCAATCACCCCTACCCCTCACCCAATCACCCAAACCAAAGTAAAGTAAGAGCTGAAAAAGAAATGGATTAATAAACAGGATAATACGGACGGACGAAATGACAGTAATGTTTTTTTTTGGACAGCCCACCCTCAACCCCCTCTTGTAATTCCTAAAAAGTTCAAAGCCCTTTTTATAGAGGATAAGCCTCGTTCGATAAAAATTATATAAAAAACTCGAACGCGCCATTGAAGTTCATTCATGTCCATATTATTAAAAAGAAAAATCCCCTTACGTTAACAAAATTACCAATCACCCCTACCCCTCACCCAATCACCCAAACCCTTTCCTTGGCGTCAATGGGGCGCAACTCCCATATAGATTTGATCATGCTCTTCTCGCCTACCCAACCCCTACCCCCTCACCCAATCACCCAAACCCTTCCCTTGGCGTCAATGGGGCGCAACTCCCATATAGATTTGATAATGCTCTTCTCGCCTCCCCAACCCCTACCCCCTCACACTCCCAAACGCCTACCCCCTCACACCCCCAAACGCCTACCTCTCACCCAATCACCCAAACCCTTCCCTTGGCGTCAATGGGGCGCAACTCCCATATAGATTTGGTTATGCTCTTCTCGCCTACCCAACCCCTACCCCCTAACCCCTACTCTACTTTCACTCACGTTTTAACGTTGAAGTTCTTCGGCTTCGTGCTCCTCAGGTTTGCTCACACAACAGAACATTCGTTTAAGAGTCTTCCAAAAACTCCTGCGCTTTTTTTTGGGCTTCTCTTCCAGATTGGATCGGCTCGATGGTCCATCATCAGCTGATGGCACAGAAAACGTCATGTCCGATGCAATCGTAATAGCATCGCAATCCTGAAATAATAATAAAGATTTATTAATATTAATAGTCAGAACTCCAGCTAGTTGAATTTGAATTCACTAGAGTCATGTAATGAATTTGTTACTTACAGCGAAATGGGAACTGATTTGTGATGAAACAAATTCTTGGAGTGCCGATGCTAGTACGGGATGGTGAAACAAGCAGATCCCGACTTCTCTCATGAGCATGATGTCATGGAAGTGATTGATCCACACAATCAACAACTCCTCTAGACCCTCCAAGACTTCCAAAGACGCTCCCTTGAACCATTGCATCAAGCACAAAATAAGAGGAACCAGCTCTTCTTGCTCTTGCTGAAGTATCTCGATTTCTTGCGAAACAGCATACTTCATGAGCAAAAGCTTCAGCTCTTGATGCTTATTCAAAATGTTGGACGTCAAAATTTGCATTCGTCTATTCTCCACATCGTACAGTCGAACAAACTTCCTCATTTGCCTCTTTACTGTTGAACCTGCATGAGATGCATAATCCAACAGCTCAAGAGGCAAATCTCTTGAAGGTTCTTCAACCGCACAATGAAAATCCTTGGAGAGGAATCGTCCGACGAACAGCAACTCGTAAGCCAATGGCTGGTAGTCGCTATAAAATTTCTGGTCCAACAAATTTTGATAGCCTTCATCCAACTCTTGATCCAATCCATCTTGCCATCCACCTTTCAATTCATCTTGCCATCCACCTTCCAATTCCTCAGGAATTGGAGCAGAAATGATTGGCGAAGAGTGTCTATCCAGGAGATGTGGATCCTCGAGCTCATAATCTGGAATGAGAGCTGGCATACTGTTGATGAACTGGTTCATTTCCTGGAAAAAAAAATTTGTTAAATTTTTCAAAATTTAAAGGTAAGGATTTAAATCATGATCAAAATGATTTGAAAAATGATTTTTCATTTAAATCATTTTACACAAGTGATTTATTTTTGATTTGTGATTTAAATCATTTTGTATGAAAGATTTATGATTTAAATCACATTGTATGGGTATTTTTTTTGGGAATTTAAATCATTTGAAGGTGAAAATTTGTTTGGGAACTTTCAGAAGATTAATTAAAAACATTAATCATGGATATCCTTTCTGGCTTTTGGATATTGTAGTATGCAGATGTTGGTATAGCTCTAAATGATAAAGCATGAATGGATCTAGCATCATACGAGGAACTAGTCAATTCCAGTCCCTTTAAAGCATTTTTTGATAAGTTTTCATTGTCAAAGAGGTATACGTTTGTATTTCTTAGCCAGAGATATGATTAGACACTGGAACTGCTCAGTTAATTTACATCCCAAAAAAAAGTTTTTTGTTTCTTTTTAATTGTGATTCACATCCTGGAATAAAAAATTTTTGAGGAACCGACCGGTTCCTTTAGTGCCTGAAGACTAAAAATGTCAAATATTAAGTTATTAAAGAATTAAGCACTTTTTTTGAGCATTTTCAGTCTTCAGGCACTAAAGGAACCGGTCGGTTCCTCAAAAAAAAATTTTGTTCCAGGATGTGATTCCTTGATTAAAAAGAAACAAAAAATTTTTTTTGGGATGTAAAGGAACTGGGCAGTTCCAGTGTCTAATCATACCTCTGGCTAAGGAATACAAACGTATACCTCTTTGACAATGAAAACTTATCAAAAAATGCTTTAAAGGGACTGGAATTGACTAGTTCCTCATATGATGCTAGATCCATTCATGCTTTATCATTTAGAGCTATACCAACATCTGCATACTACAATATCCAAAAGCCAGAAAGGATATCCATGATCAATGATTAATGTTTTTAATTAATCTTCTGAAAATTCCCAAACAAATTTTCACCTTCAAGTGATTTAAAATCCCCAAAAAAATACCCATACAATGTGATTTAAATCATATAAAATTAATGCTTACCTCTTCCTCAACTTGAGGCTCCACATTTTCGCTATCGATGATTGAACCTCTGCTCCCATTTCGCTGTTCTTCTTCCTCCAAAATTTGATTCATCCTTTGAATCAACTCCTTGATGTCCTCCGTTGTCAACTCGAATGATCTTGTTGCTTCCATTGTATAAACAAAACTGAAAAAAATTCAGAATTGTTCAAATTTCAAAGGTTGCTAGGATTATTTTTTTCTCATTCAATCTTTGAAGAATTCAAAGAAAAATAATATTTTTGGACATTTAACTGAATTTTAAACTGTTAAATCTGCTGCATCAACATATCCAATGCAAAAAGGATTCATTTAAATTTGCTACGTGATAAATAAACGAACACAATGATAAAATCAAAATGTTTGTTTAAAATCAAGAAAATTAAATTATTTATGCAGGAAGAAGTCAATCACATACAATTTAAGCAGAAGATAGAAGACGAAAGAAGAACTAAGCAAGACGAAAGGAAATGGTAATAAGTTTTAATCATTAAATTTTCATGAAAACACAGGAAAGATACAATTGTAATTATCAGATTTTTATTCATCGAGCAGCAGATCAAGTTAGAGATTTTCCAAAAAGAAAATTAAGAAGACAAAGTCCAGTATATCATGCAGTGGAAAACGAAGATACAGAAGAGCAAGTAAAAGATTAATTAAGGAAAGGAATAATGTTTGTCACACTCCGTGATGACTATGGATTTTTGCAGTGTGTGCTTGCTTACTTATGGAACATCAATAGAAATATTTGGTTAACTGCTCGCTGATTTTGCCAACAGGCATTTGATGATTCATGGTGAAAATACATCCAAAATCTTAAAAATGCAAAGAGTTATGCTTGATCGTCGACATACGGAAGCAACTCAACTGAGAATGGTGCAAACACAAGTTGATGGTGGATCTAAACTCTTTAAATTTGATTATTTTTGCGAGAAAGACTAAATGCCAAGTCTGGTGATGTATATTTAATCACTCATATTTATCGTACATAACAATCTCGTCATCGACTTCATTCAGTAAAATACAGCTCGAGTATAAAATCACCATTCGAACATATTGTTAAAGTGTGGATGTGTGAATAAACTCTATGCTTCTTTGTAACGGACGAGAAAAATTTAAAGCATTTCTTTCAATATGCTGGATATGTTCGGAAACGACTGGTCACCCAAGTAATAATCCACCTATTTTTTTCAACGAAAACAAGAAACAATTTTTATCTTTAATTGGCTTAATTGAAGCAATTAATTAAGTTAGAAGATATAAAGAGTGTAATTAAACAGTAGAAAAGTTATCAAAATATCGAGTTTTGCCAAATATTTATGAATTATGGCTTCATTCGATGTTTTCGACAAATGCAGGTAAAAAAAAAATTCATTGATTAAAATAAATCCAGTGAAAATAAGTGATTGTAAGACGTTCATTAGCTGTAAGCACGCAAATAGTATTGCTCTAGTGGTTATCACATTATGGATTATGTTTTTGCAAAATTTATGACTTGACTGGAAGATCCAGTATAAAAATAATCATGTCTAATGAAATTTAAATTCTGGAACTTTTTCTTCTCTCATACATAGTTGGTATTTTGGGTCGATGAATCGCTCAGATGCCACAGATTTACTGATGAAGGAACGGGAAGGTGGAGTATTTTTAGTACGCGATAGTACAACAATTTTAGGCGATTATGTTTTATGCGTAAGGTAAAGTTAACAAATTCTGCATGTTATTTTTAAAAATAAGATCAAATTATACAACGAACGAATTTTCTCATTACTCATATGTTTGTTTAACGATGACTTATACTGTTTTTAAGCATACAATTTACAATCCATTAATGAATTTTCTCATGAAAATTTCAGGGAAGACACAAAAGTTAGTCATTACATCATAAATAAGATACAACAGAATGATCAAATCGTATTTAGAATTGGTGATCAGCAATTCTCAGATCTTCCAGAACTGTTAGCCTTTTACAAATTGCATTACCTCGATACAACTCCTCTGCGACGTCCTGCTACAAGAAAAATAGAGAAAGTCATTGCTAAATTTGATTTTGACGGTAGTGTAAGTATCTTTAATATTGTTTGGTATTGTCATTTATGGTGGCTTTATAGGATGCTATAAAGTTTACTGCGTTATCAATTCAAGCTTATCGCGTACCATGCTTCTCTAACTGAATTCATTTTCATAAAACTGACATTAATAATAGGAATTTATGCATGCGCATGCAACAACGCAAGTGAATTCACCCTTAATTAGTTGCAAAAAGCTTAAAACGTGGATCAAAAAATAAAATTGTTTTTTTTATATGTAATTCAACAGGACTCAGACGACTTACCTTTTAAGAAAGGAGAAATACTGTACATAGTTAACAAAGATGAGGAGCAATGGTGGACAGCTCGAAATTCACTTGGACAAACTGGGCAGATTCCAGTCCCATATATAGAAATGGTAAGCTATAAAAATAGACATGTCAACATTTTCACGCACAAGCTGATAATCCATCAAAATTATCATTTAATTTTATTAGGGGCCGTTCACTTATTACGTTACGCAAAAAAACGAATTTTTTCACCCCCCCCCCCCTCCCCCCTTGTAGCAATATGTTATAACTCACAACACCCCCCCCCCCCCCCCCCCCCTGAACGTTGATAATTTTTTATAGGTATTATGATTGTATTTTAAAGTCTTGTAAACCAAATTTCTATTGATTTGTTACTTTATATAACAAAAACTATGTATTGCTTAGCTATCAAAAGTGATTTTTTTCAAACAAATTTTTTTCGTGAACTTTTTTAAAAAGACAGACGACAGTTATAACGTTACATTATTCTTGACACCCCCCACCCCCCTTCCCCCTAAAATATGTTACATTTTGTTACAATTTTTCAAACCCCCCCTCCCCCCTAAAATACGAACGTAATAAGTGAACGGCCCCTTACTACAATTTTCTTGAAATTCAAAATGTCAAATTGATTAAAATCGTTATTCACTCAATCTTTAAGTTTTTTAAGATTCATAGATTATTTATTTAAGGTTTTATAGAAAATTAAGACAGTACATCAGATTAATTCTAAAGAATCTTAATTATTATCTTTTAAGTATGACGAAAATTCACGTTCAAGTGGCGGATTCTCAAATTCTCAACCAAGAGTACCAGCTGATGGAACATTTAAAAAGACTAATCTCAATGTAAGTATTTCCCATTCATCAATCAACAGAAAAGAATTTTAATTGATCGATTCTGTTTTGTTTTTTTGTAGAGAAAATTGCCAGCATACGCACGTGTTAAGCAGGCTCGAGTTCCAAATGCTTACGATAAAACAGCATTAAAGTTAGAAGTTGGTGATATTATAAAAGTAACGAAAATGAATATAAATGGACAGTGGGAAGGCGAGTTGAGAGGTAAAGTCGGATTCTTCCCATTCACACATATTGAATTTCTGTCGAACGATGATGACGAGAATTTCAATGGCAATTTAATCGGCGATGAGGAGCGTTGGGGCGATTAAGAAATAATGAACTTTTAGATTTTTCCTTATTTTATTATTTTATCATTTCGAGATTGTTATTAATCTGTATATCCTTCGTTTAAATCACACGAGGAACTCGGCTATCAAACATTCGTGCCAGTTTCTTGAAAATTTCAATTTTTTATGTCTCATTTGCTAGATTTTCTTTTAAATTTTTCCCTCCAAACTTTGATTTTATTTTATTTTGATCTCGAAAGAAATGGATTAAATTGTGGCTGGCATATGGCGTCATTAATAGATTTTCTAGTGACAGCTATGTGATTGTCATATACTATATCGTTTGGGATAGTGACGAGTAATTCTTTTTTAACATTAATTTAACAATACGCGAATGAAAATCATTTTTTTAAAAAAAATGAAGGTTTGAAAATAAAATTCAGGACGTAGAATTGAGGGTTCTTAAAAAACACTATTTAAAGGAATCAAATGAAAATGATACATGAATAAAATTGTGAATTATACAGTTAGATGATAGGAAAAACAAACAAACTACTAAGTTTAAAAAAGAATGATAAATTTGATAGTGCATAAGAGTATATAACAAAACAAAAAACAAAAAATTATTTACGGTGAATGATAAGATGCATAAAATCCACTTCACATATTTTTTGATTCAAATTAAACAAAATAATTATCTTTTGAACAACAAAACAACCGACTAAGCTTGCAAATTATATTAATAATAAATAGTAATAATGATAGTGAAAGATGACAATGTATAATCAAAAGTGAAGGGAATAGCTGTAAATCAAATAATACAAAATTGTCAAAAAATTGACCAAAACTTGAGTGTGAACAGATTTGAATTAGAAATTTAAATGGAAAGCAATTTTGTTGACTTAAATTGTGCGAATTACTGCTGACTGACTGGCGTTTGCGAAAATGAGTGATAAAAAAATAGTACTGAACGGCAATACTTTACAATTCCAAAAATTCTGACGTTTAAAACCATACATGTTCTAGATAAATACTTATAATATTTAAAGCCATACAAATTCAAAAATTTGTCACTTTTCAAAGCAATTCAGCAATGCTTAAAAATACTTAAAACATAAATTTTAAAATTAATTCACACGAAGAAAGTATTAAATTTTATAATTATTCAATCCTTATGAACAATTCCTGAAAAACCATTACTCATTAAAGGTTTTCCTTCCAATTCAGCGAAATTCGATCATTTTGAGTCAACAATATTCAATTACATTTCATCCTCAAATTGCACTGTTCAATTTGATTATTTTCCAAACAATCTCCTTTCTTCGCCGACAAATAATATCCAAAATAAATCTATCTATTTTCTTAAGATACAATAGTTAAATGCATTGAAAATTCCCTCCCGTATTTCGAATCTTAATTGCAGATAAACAAAAAATAAAATAAATAGAATTTAGAGCATTCAAAGTTGATAATTAATTAATTACACACAATTTATAAAGCAAGAAAGTTTTTTCGCGCTGAAAGTTGTTCTCACAGTTAAATTAACAATCGTGTTACAAATTACTTTAAAAAGATTTCAACAGCTAAGAAATGAATTTAAGAAAAAAAAATATGAAAATCAAGTTTAACTAGTCACACTTAAGCATATAAAGAATAATGCACAACGAAAGATACTGATTCGATCATAATTTTGGGCAAATCGAAGAATTAAATTCATGAAAAATATTAAAATCTACTTCATTTATGCATTTTCTTGAGAATCATAAGAATTAAATCTTTATAAAAAAAAATAAAAAAGCAATAAATTTGAGCGATAACTTAAAGAAAAATGTTTCAAAAAAGTCCAATGAATTTAGACAAAAAGTTGCTGAACAAATCGTGGCATTAGTGTAAAATGTGCAATTAATATATTGTTTTGTGAAGCATATTTTTAATGTAATCAAAATGGGGTCAATGATTTTCTTCATATTTATGTAAATTTACTTTTTGTAAGCTTCTTCAAAATGCTCACTTTATTGATTTATTTGGATAAAATTCGAATTTAAAATTCATTCAAAAATATTAAAATTTATTTTTTAATTAATTATGAAATCAATTGAATTTGAAAAAACAAAAAAAAATCTATTTTAACATTTAATTTTTGAATTTGAAAAAACATTTAACCGATTTTAATTTTCAACTTTTTAATTTTTAAGATTGAATTTTGTGTTCAGGCAAAAGTAAAAATGTTAAACGCTCGCGTTTTATCATTAAAACTAGTTCGGCATTCTTAATCATGAAAAGGATTTAAATTATTTACTCAAATATCGATAAAAAAAATTGAGTTCAATGTTACTGAGAATGTTTCTATTTAATGTCTATTATTACTCAGCCGATATGAAAGTGACATAATATTGAAGAAACATCCACGAACCCCTTTATCATATTTATATAAAAAATGTATTTTTCTTTATGGATGCCAAATAATATAAGTTTGTTTTTTGATGCTTATTATCCAAAATTTAGTTGAACTGAATGTAAAGGATGTTGATGATATGCACTGAGTTTTACAATGAACTTGTACATAAAAAAAAAAATAATAATGATGTGAATTTTTGATAATATTTTTGAAGAGAACATGAAAAAATATTAGTTTTACTTATTTTTGGGATAAACATATTTTTTATACAACAAATTATTTTTGAAAGTAAACTCAATGTAATCTCTAACTCATGCATAATTGATTAAATATTCCGTCAGAAATATTTGTTTTTCTCATTTTTCTCGACAATTCTGAAATAAGATACAAAAAAAATAAAATTGTGTAGCTGAGAAATTTCATGTTTAGCTGATGCTTTTTTCCGTTCAACAGTTAAAAAACAAGATATATATACATCTATAAATGAAAAGATAGTAATTGTAAATAATTAAAAAAGATTGAAAATAAAACGAAAGTAATTTGAGATTATTGAAAACGTATTTTTTAAATTTGAATTTTTCGAAGATTCTAGCGGTAAAGTGAGCAGAGGCATGGATATTGAAGACATTTCAACTTACAACGCATTTACTTTTTATTCCAAAGTTTTTATCTCAGTAGCTCAGAAATATAATAATCATTAAACTGTTTCAAAATTGATACAAAGTAAGAACATAACGAGAATTTAAGGAAATAATAAAGGAAATATCTAGCAGTCAGTCGGACAAAAGGAATTAAGGTACGCATTTTTGGGAAAATACAATGCATTAAAAAATTCAACTTAGAAATTTAGAGAACGAGATAATCAATTTCTTGTTGTTAAAATCATACTGCAAGCAGTGAAAAGAAATCAAATAATACAGCAATGGTGAGTATAATTAAGTAATGATGATTCAGCAGTTTTTGCGACGTCGCAAAGTCCAAACTTTGACCTATAAAAAAATTTTATTTCCGATTTGTCTCTAAAATGTACTTACAATGTAATTTTAGGATGTCTTTTTGATGATAAGACGTAAGAAAACAACAATTTTTACAGATGCAAAAGACACGACAACGGTACATGAGCTGAAGAAAATGATTGAGGGGATATTGAAAGTTCCACCAAAGGATCAAAGATTATTTAGTAAAGATAATACAGCAATGGATGATGATAAGCAATTGCAGGATTACGGTATAACCCAAATTACATCGAAAGCTCAACAGCCTGCTATGCTAGGCTTGGCGCTTCGAATTGATCATGATTTTGAGCCGCTCGAAATGGTTCCATATTCTCAACCACCAGATTTACCAGATGTGATGAAACAAGACACTGTGTCGAATGAACAAGCTTAATCCAATAATTATTCGTTTTTTTACTAAAACAATTGAGTTTTTCACACAATAATCCTTTCATTTCACATTTCACGCATCAAGTAAATGTGAACACCATAAAGCTAAAGAAATTAATGAATATGTATCTATTCCTATACAAATACTATCTGTGAGGAACATTCTTTAGGATCAATCATCATCTTATATATATTTTTTTTTAAAAAATGGAAATGCTTTATAATTTATTGAATTAATTCTTATTATTATAATCAGCAAACTAAGCATGAATTGAGATATCTGCGAGAGGAAAAAGAGTGAAAAATTAATGCCTTAATTTTAAAACAAATTAAAAAAAAAAAACAAAGTTTTCGTGAATGGAATGAGGATAAACAAAATTTTCTTTATTTTATTATGTTTCCAATCGTATTTCCATTCCCAAATTTTTATTAATTCTTGTTTTTGTGCTTAATTTCCGTCAAATTTTTATGTAAAAAATTTCTAATAGGAAATAAAACGAAAAGAAAAAGGGATATACTTGGCTAATACTTGTTCATTTTGCTAAAAATGTTTAAAATCTTTTTACCTGATTTTTAGGTGGAAAAGATACATCTACTCACATTTTTAAGAATTTCCAGAAACGTCAAACTGACAATGTATAGTGCTGTATTGTGCAGAGTCATGTGGAAAGAGATCACAAGGCCAAAGAACTCCTGGAATGAGGCTGTTGATAGAGACAGTGTTGCATTTGGAATCGGAAATTGGCAGGCGGTAGCCAGTGATAGAGCTAGTTTTAGGGGATGACTAAGGGTGGTCATTAATCACAATTGATCTGTACGACCAGCGAAGTAAGTAAGTATAAAGTATTATGAGGTATTCAGGAGCTTAACGTTAATTTAACTGACAAGCAGAGAGATTTTTGATCTTGGGGTTCTTTTAAATGCTGGCGTTTTGTTAACTCTGGATCCCATCTTTCCACGCTAATGATGTCTATCAAGTTTTAACAAAGACTTTTCAAAAAAAAGTCAAAAATAATCAATTTGTCAATGAAATTATTTATAAAGCATTATACTTCACAAAACATGGATTCAATCTTTGTCAAATTGTTTAATGGAATTAAGAAATTGAGTAAGGATCTCATAAAAGTAACTTACAGTCAAAAGAATCCAAAAGTAATTAAATAATGGATCAAAACCCCAAAGGATCAGCTAATACATAGAAAAGTTATTCATAGCAATTCAATACGTTTAAACAACAATCAAACCCTATTAATATTTTAACCTGCTAAATTATTCATATTGAAGAATTACTTTTAACTAACCTTAAAAATTCAATAGCAGCAAAATCTGTCAAAAATATATTCTCAAAAGATGTCACCACATGTCATTGCAGAAAATCATTTAGAGAGAATTAAAGCACATGTTCTTTCACTCTCCAAAAAGTATTACAGCAATTTTTCCTAAGAGCATTTCCACTGCTATAAATTTTCATTACAATCATCTGATTACTTCAGTTATCGTGTGAACTTCATCGGAATCTAACGGCAATACAGGAGGATAGGCAAAAATAAAGAAATAATTTTGGCATAGAAGTGAAGGCAAGAAGAAGTTTGTGTGGAAAGGAATAAGATAAAGTTTTAATGATCGCTAAAAAGACAAATGAAATAAAAATTATTTTATGGAAATTTCAACGACCATAAATGTAAGGTCAATAAAACGCCTCTTATTGGATAGACTTTGCGAAGTAAAAAAAATTGCCATCACTTTTAGCGCCAAATTGGTGAAGATAAGAAGAAGCGAAAGGAAAAATATTACTCTGTAATTTTCCCTAAAGCAGCTTGTTGCATTCATCAGTGAAGATTAAAAATAGGAAGCATAAAGGATTATTATTCAAGTGCAAAACGTGTAAATTAAAAATGACAGATATATATTCATTGTTGGATAATGTGACAAACTATAATATTAATACCAGTATAGATGTAATTCTATTCCAAACATCATCCTCGTCACTACTGACAGACGATGAGAATAATGCAACCCATGTTTTTTGCCCGAGTAACTATAATTCTGATCCAAGTACTTTGACGAGTGTCTTGAATGTAATCTTGGCTATTCTGTATTCAATTGTGTGCTTAATTGGAGTTTTCGGTAACTCCCTCGTAATTTTTGTTGTTGTTCGATTTAGGTGAGAATTTATGGAAAATGCAGTCAGTGTTGTTGATTGCTGATATTTGGGGCGAGCATGAAAGTTAATCGATCCTTCCGTTAATTTCAAGGCGTGGAAACTATCCCAAATATCCCATTTATCCCATATATCCCAAAAATATTCAAAATAATCCCTGAGCCTGTATGCATTAGAACTGAGATATCCCATCATTTCCTGAAATTACACGTCAAATACACTAAGGGGCTGTTCACTTATTACGTAACGCAAAAAAATGACTTTTTAGACCCCCCCCCCTCGTAACAAAATTTGTATGAAAAAAAAATTTCCTTGTTTGAACCGTAACAAAATCTTAGACCCCCCTCCCCCCCTAAAAGCGTTACGTAATAAGTGAATGGCCCCTAAGGATATGTTGGGATATCTTTATTATCGTGCATACATGTTCAGGATTATTTTGAATATGTGGGATAAATATGATATTTGGGATAGTTTCCACGCCTTGGTTAATTTAGATATTAGATCTAGTACAGGGGAAGCACAACTCCAAGGGTCGTATTTTTTTCTCCTCCGAATTTGGATAGCTGAACACTTTAATGGAAAAAAAGACCCAACAAAAAAAATTTGGACTTTGGGTTGCTTTCCCCTTAGTTTAGTCAATATCATATCAACCCCAATGTACCATCGATAACTCAACACTGCAATCGCAATCATAATTGACTTATTGAAGCTAAATCTTCACATAACCTCAATCTATTCTGTCTATTTTGTTCTCTATTTTCCATGACAATGACAGTAAAATGCAAACCGTAACGAATTATTACATCCTGAATCTCGCCATTGCAGACCAATTTTTCCTTATCGGGATTCCATTCTTAATTTTTACAATGTTCTATGGTAATGTTGGTAAAATGCTAGAAATTTCCTTTTCTAGCTTTTTTTTCATCTCCACATTTTTTATGTTCCATTTTTGATAAGAAAAAAATTATTTTCCGCTTCATAGGTCAATGGATTTTTGGGAATTGGTTTTGTAAGCTTTATATGATAAGTCAATCTATAACTCAACTCTCGACATCATACTTTCTGCTCATTATGAGTGCTGATCGCTATATTGCTGGTAGATATTTTTTCTTTTTTGTTATATTTAATATATTTAATGGTGATTACACTGAGAGGATGCTTCTTTGTGTACTGCGGCAATTTTACTGGAAGTTTTTATAACAAATTATCCTGAATGTGAATATCAAGCAAAGAATAATATTTGAGGACGGAAAATGCAAATGTCATAACAAGAAAAACGCCTTCAAGTCATGGAAATTTGATAACAATTGCTGGATGGACATATCCACGATACATCCTGACAATAAACACTGATGGCAAACGTACGAAAGACACAATCATCTGATGGAATATCTTGGTCCTTGAGTCAATTAAAATTCAATTTTTGAGAGATAAATGGGAGGAGACACTGAGTCAAAATCCACCCTATCCTCTTCCCGAATATTTTTAATTCTCAAAGACACAATTTTAAGCTATTTTTTTCGTCCGATATAAATTTTTGTCTAATGTAAGCATTTGCAAGTTAATAAACTCCATTTCTAGATCAAATCACATTTAAGGCTTAATTTGACAGACGTCAACAAGTGCTTTTGACGATGTGATTGATTTGAGTTGTAAGATTGTGCTGAATATATCTCACTTAATACTAAATGCTAAGCATGTACTCTAATTCAATATTGAGATTGATACGCTTATATGTGAATATTTTTCATGGTGAAATGGACCACACTTCTGGTATTTTATGTGAGTATATTGTTTTCGTAACACCATGCATCAGTGAACTTTCCACAATATTCAATAGTTACAAGACGATTCTCAGATTTTCACGTTTGCATTCCATTTAATAAACTCGTGACATCAACATTTGCATATTATGTGGTTTAGTCGTAACCCATCGTAACCTAACCAAGTTCATTCGACTTAAAAGTCACAGCTATTAGTACAACTGTCACATTCGTTGAATATCACTTGAAATAACTTTGTATTACTTTTTCAACATTCAGTTGGTTTCAATTAATTTTTGACTCTATGCAGCATATGTCACAAATGTGCTGGATATATTTTTTTGTAAGTCATAGAAACTTTTCTGGGTTAAACTTCTAATATCTTCCGTCATTTACTTCCATAAAAAATACATTTTATGGTTATTAGCTTCCTCTTTAAATTTATCCTTTTTGAATGGAATATCCAACTAATTTGCGGATAGTAATTGGATACATTACGTGACTGAATTGAATAACAATAAATGAATATTCTAATTTGTTTTAAGAATTTTTCAAATGACTATTCGAGCTTTAATGGAAGTGCTTTAAAAATTTCCAGTAAAAAGGCAGTGTTTAATACAACTCCTGTGTCAAGTTCATGTCAAAGGACTTATTAATAAAATTTATTATTTAACCACAAATGTCAAGTGGAGTCAAGTCTTTTTGTAGAAGTATGCTATGTGTATCAGAACTGTAAGGATCCTACGATAGCAATTTCTCAGTGACAAAGTCGTTGATTTATCGCTAAATGTTCACCAAATTATCTTTTCGGTGCCTCTGCGTGTTTGAATACTGGGAATTACATGCTGTTAAATAAATGCGGCTTGATGAAACTTGACAGTCTGTCCTTAAAGAAACAGAGAGCAGATGTGATGAAATAAGAATTAAATTAAAAGGAATAATGAACTTTAAGTTTAATAAATGAGGGGGGGGGGGGTCAAATAGAGGACTCTGATAGGAATCAAACGCCCAAATTGGCAGATTCGCATAAAAATCGCTCAATATCTGAGATTTAGACACCACACTTCCATTAAATTCACTTATTTATTTTTGAAAAAAAAAATGCAGCATACAATTCTTTTTATTACAATCCTCTCAGTGTAAATTCACAGCACAATGAGTTTTTATTCACTTTTGTTTGTTAATCAAAATCCTCTTTCATTTCCATGTATGATTTTTTATTATTGACAATAGTGTGCCATCCCATCGATTCTCCACGCTATCGCAATCTACCAATGTCAAAAGTCGTCTCGATATTGCTGTGGGCATTTTCATTTCTTTTGATGTCACCAGTGATCCTTTATGGTATTTAATTTCTGATGTAAAAGGAAAAATGCATACTCTGAATTAATTCAATAATTTGCTTTTTTCCATATCCAATACACACATACACACACAAATTATTCATCCTTTAATCTGCGTGGGCAACAGCCAATACAATAGAAAAGAGCGAAAACTCATCAGCAAGATCGTGCATCATAAAATGGAATTTGGATAGTGGAGATGCTGATGAGCCATATGCATTTATACTGTATTCATTCTTTCTTGGATTCGCATTGCCGCTAGCCTTAATATTGACTTTTTATCTTCTTGTAATTAAAAAGCTTCGAACAGTGCGTCAACGTTCAAAATCAAAAGAGCGTAAACGATCGCATAGGAAAGTAACGAAGTTAGTTCTAATTATAATTGCTATGTATGTCTGCTTCTGGTCACCATATTGGATGCTGCAAATATACTCGCTAACACTCCCGCCTGATTATTGTAGAACAAACTTTGAAATCATCATTTTCATGCTCTTCGGATGTCTCGTGTATCTCAACTCGAGTCTTAATCCGCTTCTCTATGCATTTCTATCCGACTCATTTAAAAAGAGCTTCCTCAAAGCTTGCTCATGTGCCAATAAAAATGATCTATATATCCTTAGAACAGACTTTGAAAGTCCCGTGAATAGTCGTATGAGTAAAACACGTAGCACAGAGAAGCGACACTACACATCTGTTGCTATGAAAGTCAATAGGAAAATAGAGAATCGATGTCTACGAAAGAAAGAAATTGCATCGACAGCAATAACAGATGATTCAAAAGAAATAATTTTGATTTCTACTAATACACCGAATAGGAAGGACGTATTACAAACAGATTTATGAATTGCCAAGTCAGCAGTGCTTGTGGAAGGTTTAAACACAACGAACGTGATTCATGCGTTAAAGTTTCTAGATTGAATTTTTGTCACGTGATTTTTCATCACAATTTTTTTTTCTCTTCAAGTTTAAATGCTCGATGATTGATCTCTTCTGCAAATATTGATTCAAACTTTAAGCATCATTGTATCATCGGTCAGCATAGAGTCATAAATGAAAAGTCATCCATCAATAAGTAAACTTTGTGATTTTCCAATTCAATCAGTTCCATTTCATTAAATTATTAATTAATTTTGAATGGCATTTGATGAGTTACACTAGAAATTTTAAATGCAAATCATGTCCTTTTGGTTGATTGCTGTGACCTTAAAACAGAACAGATTTATAAATTTAAACTTTCTGTGCTAGTCAAAAATACAAAAATTATCATTTTTTTCATCAAAAATTAAAGTGCTATTGTTGTTAAAAATTTGATTTATTTAAAATGTTACAAAATCTTTGAACCTTAATTATTTATGTTTTTCATTTTTAATAAATTATAATTAAATACAAACATGAATTTTTTGTAATTTGTCAGACAAAATTTTCTTTTATATGCTTATTGTGGTATATGTGGCAATTTACTATGCAAATATTGATTTAAAAAGTTTCTATAGAAAAATACAATTTAAAACAGATTAAAATGAGTAAATGTATGAGTCCATAGAGAAAAAAAACTAAAAGATTGTTTCATAAGCAACAACAAGGATACACAGGAATTTATTTGAATAAAACGATTGAAAAAGGAGAAATGTATCAAGGGAAATTAAGAGCAACATATGATGATGACTTAAATCTAGAATACAAAACATTTGTGAAGAAGAAGTTACAAAAAACAAAAATTCAAAACTTTTGAGCAAATAAACTTTTTGTTAATGAAGACAAATAATAAAATGTTTTACATTATTGACCTTATCAAAATGTTTTTTAAAGTATCTTTAAAGGAAATAATTGATGTTGAAAATCATTTGCAAAGCTCTTGTTAACATAAAAGCTTTTTTTGTTTTTCAGCATAAATTTCTTGTTCTGAATTTAATGCAATGGAAAAATATTTTAGCAAAAATGAATGGCTTTTTTGTTCTGTTTTCTGTAAAAACTTTTCATCCTGTTGAAAATATTCTTGAATTTTGTTTTATAGCAAAAATCTTTGATTTTTCAATTTTTACAACAAACTGTTAAAGCATTGCTGTTTTCATTTTAATTACACTTTTTAGATCCATCATGTCTTAATTCAATTTTTTTTTTCAATAACATTTGAATTTCTTACAAAACTTTTTTGTTTACTGCAATTTTTATCTTTCTTTAAATTTAAAATAAATTTTATAAATTTAGGGTATTTATAAGCATATGTTTGATCTTGTAAATTTCCAGCAGAAGACAATGCCAGAATATTTTGGAGTGAGTTTTTAAATTTTTTTCAGAATTACATTCCTAGAAATCTTTCAGAAACTTTATTCCAAGCTATTTTCATTGTTGCAATATTGCATCTAGCCTTAATATCTGAAACATACTATTATTAGAATAGAATGAAAATTAAGCTGATTTAAAAAATATCATAAAATTTCAATGATTTTTTCCAAACAATATAAATTCTGCATAAAATTTACACATTTTCGTCTTGTCTATATCTTTATTTTCTACACAAGTGAGTTTGGAATGATCAAATTTTTATAAGCAATTACTTCTAATCGTTATCTGTATTTAATTTTGAAACTGAAAAGGGTACTTTTTGCCGATTGAGCAGTCTAGCAACCAAAGTTGAAATGGAAAATTGAGCGAAAAGGATGAAACGTTTTATTTCCAATGGAAAGATTTAAATATTTTTTGAATATTAATAATTGATTACTGAAACTTTATTATATTTTAAAATTTATAAAAACTAGTTATAGTTTGGCTTAATGTTTTTATTAAAAATCGTTTTCATTTTATTTTATATTTCTTAAATTTAATTACATTTTCAATTTTTTTTTCTTTTATTTAAAGCGTTTATTTAATTTTATAATTCCCAAATAATGCAGTGAATCAACAGGCATCAAGAATATAAAAGAGCATAATCGAAAAAAAACAATAAAAAATACAAACATTTTGTAGTTAATTAAGGTTCTAATTATCAAAAAATTTAGGTTTGACCTTGAACCTTCCTAACCTCGAGCAATAGAAAAATGAATAAGAATCCGAGCAGAAGATGTCTGTTTCTAAGGGCACCAGCAATAACTTTTAAGTACAATCTTCAATTCATCATGAAAAAATTTTTGTTTGCAAAAGCATTGAAATATGAACAATAATCAATCAAAGTCTTATTTTAATGTATGCGTGTGTATGCATGTGATTGAAATTTGTACAATGAGCTTGGTTATGAAATGGAGATAAATTTTTTATCTAAAACTTGGGTGAAAAGTTTCTATGAAGAAGTGATGAAAACCCTTTTTTGATCCTTCAGATTCATATTACGTTTGACATGTGTACTGTGTGTGTGTGGAAGCTTTTTGAAAATTTTTATCAAGAAATGGCCGTAAAACTTTTTGTTATGAGTTCTTTATTTAATTAACCTACTCATATTTCTTATTCCATGTAGATTTTAATCAAATTTAAAATTTAAATTTTATTTGACTTTTTGTTTTAAATATTTAACTTTAAATAGCAAAAATGAACAATTCATATATTTATATCCTCAGTCAATGGAACGATATAACAGATTTGAATTACTAGTCGTACGTTATGCAATGTCGTTAGAACTGTACAAATCCTTGTCATATCGACATCACTTTAAATATTTATCAGTCTCTGGTGAAAATCAAACCCATTTCCTCACAAACGAACACAGATATCTGTTCAGTTGCCTAACCCTTCGCACTAAAGTCACCTAATTCTCGCTGTGTCAGATTCCAGATGCCAAAACTGTTCCAGACCCTCTTAAACCCTTAAAAAGCGAACGTTATAAACAGAGATCTGCTTATAAGTTAAACCGCTTCTCAAAAATTAGTGCAATTTTTATAACACATCTTCTTACATAATTAAAAATTCGACGACACCAAGTAAATTTTACATAAATTTGCGTAAAACAAAAAAAAAACCGATTTAAAAAAATCCTTTAAATGTTTTTTAAAAAAAGTTTTTCGCCAGTCTTAAAAGATAATTTTATAAAATGAAAAGAAATTTAAATTTCTCTCGGTGGGTTAATTTTCTCAAAATAGCACTCAAATTCGACCTCGGCCCTTAAGCATAACCAATTAATCAAAATTGAATTTTCAAAGAATTACTTAATTAGTCATTTGTTTGAGTTTTACAGAACAAAAATTGTTTTTAAATTAAATCTATTTGATTTCGAAAGTAAAGTTTTCAGATGTTCAAATCAAACATAGAATTTTATTTAATTTATGCAACAAATTGTTTGTAATGATTTAAAATTAACTGCATTTCAATTTACACGAATTAGATAAATTCAAAGCATTTAAATTCTTTTTTATCACACCGAATGATACTTCACAAACATAAATATTATGAAATGATATTAAATTGATTTTCCTTGACCGTGATTGTTTGATTATGTTTCCGTAACTTTAAACCGTAATTTAATAACCCTTTTTGTTGTGAAATGAAGCTGTTATGATGATGTTTAAATGTTTTATAAAATGATGGTGACGAAGAGATTTCATTTGTTTGAACATTATTCAGTTTATGTTCTGGTTATCAAAAAGGACATTCGATGCTTAAATAAAATGTATAGGTGATGAAAATTCATACAAAAAAGCGTATCTGATTTTCAAACAGGCATGAAAATTATTTGTCCCATTACATGATGTTCATGGTAGTCAAATTAATTAACTTCTCCGAGTCACACACGACTTCTTTAAAGCAATTTAATTCTGTGTCATTTTTTTGGTGAAACTTTTAGGCTCGTGAGTCAATTTGGATTTCTGTCATTGAACTGTGTATTTTAAGAAGCCAGTCGTGTTTTTATAAGATTTTTGTTGATTTTATTTTAATATTAGATTTTGGACAAACATTTTATTCAAAATTCAAATGTTTTATTCGGGTATGATTCATTAATCCTATTATAAAAATTATATTTTTAACCTCAAATTATTTTCCAGCATGTAAAATCAGTAATATAAAAAAGAAAGAGAGAATGTAAATATGCGCTTAATCCTCAATCAATATATTTGCGGTTAAGAGAATTAAAATTCATAAACTGAACATCAAACGTATTATTAATTATTTGAATAGAACTGTCAATGTTTATATTTCCATCATCAATTAACTCTTAATCATGAGCATAAATAACGTTCAATGCTTTAAAAATTTATATGTTGAAATACATTTTAAAATTTTAAGAAGACATTCGGATTCATTTTGAAAATTTTCCTAATTTACAAATTTTTTTAACTCTTTTGAAACTAGGCAAAGCTTTAAAAGTTTCGAATTCTAATTTCTGATTTTCGACTATATCAAAAAAATATCGATGATAATAGAGAAACCGTAGAATTCTATAAACATTTACGAAAAATTATAAAATGAGTAAAATAAAGAAATGTAGGACTAAATGTAAGAATTATGTCTATTGAAAAATAAATCCCACGCTTTCATCTTCCTACGAAATAAATTTATTGTCCTCTAACCTAAATTTATCTTAGCGAACTGCATATTTTGTAACACTAAAAATGTATTTAAATGTACATTTTCGACCCCCCCCCCCCCTTGTCGGTACAAATTTTATAATTGAATCAGAAAAGATTTGAAATCCCTTCTGTACTTAAGCATTACGAAACATTCGAACAACTCCTTAGAAATTCATCAGATAAGTGAATCTTTAATTTCGATAAAAAGGAGATAAAATTCTTTTAAACATCACAGTGGCAATTAAAATTCAAGTAGACTCCACGAGACACGATAAATTTTAATCTACACTTGAAAATCATTTAACTACGATCTGAGCTTTGGGGCTTCATTTTTAGCCTCATTTAATTCCCTATTGAAAAAAAGTATATTCATGCTCGACACGGACTTTAATAAATGAAAGCATAAAGCTCACATAATAATTCTTTATAATAAAGCATAAATATGGCATCATTAATGATTGTATGGTAAAAAGAAAGAAGCGGAATTGATTGAATTATTTATTCACATAAGTCTCGAATAACAGAAAATAAATATTGATTACATATCAATGAAGAGATGAAAATGCAAAATAAATATATTAATTAAGGAATGATTATGTTTGATTTATTGTGTAAAGCTTTATATTGCTTAATTACCGTACTTCAAATGCAGAACATTTTGATTGCTAATGACGAATGCTTG